ACCCAGGCCAGGTGGTTCCCTTTAGTTGGGCAGTTTGCAAAGGGCGGACAGCTGAGGACCAGTGACATTGCCAGCAGCTGGGGTCATGGTCCTTTCTTTATCCTGAAGGGGATTACAAAGCACGCAGCAGCAGCCAAGGTGGGGCCGAGTCAGAGAGTGAAGATACAATTTAGATTCAGGCAGTGTAGACAGTGAAAGGAAGAGAACAACGCAAAGGTGCCAGCTCCCTGGGTCCTTCTCCCTCGGGTCCAAAGGGGCAGGACGGCCGCCACACGAGCTGGGGGACGCCACGTTGCCAGACTGAGTTCATCTTGTGGGTCTATCCTGAGCTCATCTGAACCCTCCCAGGGGAGGTGGGCAGGCAAGGGGGAGGTGGCTTTGGAGTAGTTCCTCACTAGCCTCGCACCCCCTCTCCCCTCGTCAACTGGGAGAATCAAAAGACGTCCTGCTAGGACTCAGATGAGCTGTGGTTCAAACTTGCCCGAGGGGCTGCTGTGCCAGTGTGCCTACAGCACCCGTCACAGTGACCAGGTGACATGGTTGCAGGACTCTGAGGACAGCTGAACACCAGAAAATTAAGTGCTGTACTTTGCAGCATTAACAGAAGAGAGAGAGAGGGAGAGGGAGAGAGAGAGAGAGAGAAAGTCCATCACCTCAATAGATGCAGAAAAGACATCTGGCCAACTTCAATACCCATTTGTAATTTGTATCAATGCTCTTAGCAAACTGGGAATAGAAAAGAATGTCTCTAATCTAGTACGGAATATTGCAAACGTTGTTCTTATTCATGAAGTTATTTAGAGTGTTGCCCCGGAGGCGGGGAACGAGGCAAGCATGGCCTCCGTTGCCTTCTATTCAACATTGTACTAGAGGTCCCGGCCAGTGCAATAAGGCAAGAGAAATAAATAAAAGACATAATTTCCTACTTATCCAGGCCTAACAAGGACGGGAATTATGCTCTGTATGAAAGATTTTTCTCGTGGCTGAGTTTTCAACAAGTTTGGTCACCGGTATGGGGGAAGTTTTGGTATTAGAAAACTTATAGGTAACATCTAATATCTTGAACAGTCTACCCAAGGGTTTCCATGGCTTAAGCAATGCTTGTGCAGAAAGTGGAGTTTCAGTCTCACAAACATTGGGATTGAGCTCGTATAAGGGGCCCTCACGCTTGAGTCCCAATGGGGAGGGCTGGTCTGGTGCTCAGTCCGGGGATATCCTTTCTCTCAAGAGCTGTTACTATTTAAAGGCAGCTGTGGCCTGGCCACGTGAGCGCACTGGGCTGAAGAGGCCGAGCGGGGTGTGAGTTTGCCCTCTGATAAGGAAGGACTCACAGCATAGAACATCCATGGCGTCTACCCTTCGGTCTCCTCAGTTCATCGTGGGACCACATGCTATCAATGCCCCACACACATCCACTTCTCCTCGCCAGGAGGTGACCGGTGGAAGGTTCTTTGTGTCTCTTCACCTGGAGGCCTTTCTTGGACACCGGAGCCTGCTCAACCCAGGCACGAGAAGTGCCGGGAGTCGATGCCCTGGGATCAAGGCGCAACCCGAGAAGCAGGGAGCTGGTGGGTGACGCCCTGACCCCCCACTCCGGAGAGGGATGGGGCTTGGCGGAGCACCCAGGCACCCTGCCCGTGAGCACGCCCTTTCCCGCCTCGTGCCCCCACGCCCTCACCGTGCTTCCTGGGGTCCCCTCCCAAGTGAATTGCCTGAACCAAAACTCTTGTCTCGGGGAAAGCCAACTACTGGACCTGGATGCCAGCCAGAGGACAACGGGATCCCAGGGCTGACGTTGAGTGGGGTGGTAAGACCCCAGCACGCTGCTGGACCAGTCACCAAACTCCAACCGGGGCAGGACGAGGGTGAGGAAGACAGCAGCAGGCTCTGGTCGACCAACTGCCACCACTGGAGGTGCCGTGACAATGAGGATGCCCTATGGCACATGCACAAGAACAGGCCGAGACTCAGGCCAAGGTGGGATCCCGGGTGGCACGATCAGGAAGTGGACCATATTCACAGGCCTGGAAAGTCCCCTTGGCTCAAGCCACGCCCTGATTAGGAAGGCAGGGGACTCTGGATGGGACATGGGCCCGTCTGGGCAGATGCCCTCAGGAGCCTTGACACCCCAGACCCCCCTGAATGCTTGGGTCTTAGCAAGTGGCTCATGGCCGTCGTAGAGGGCAGCTCCCTGACCTGGAAATCGTTTGGAGGCCTCTCTCGAAGAGAAGAGCGGCCAGATAACCTCTGTCCCCCCAAGATCTGCCATCACTTGCACTCAGTGCTCCTCGATCAGACCACAGGGGCGAGTATCAGCATGGCCTGTGGAGAGAATTACTGTCCTGCTTGGAAAGAAAGTGAATCATTCCCCCAAAGCGCTGAAGCAGCTGGCTAGTGCGGACCGCCAGGGGCCGGAAGGGCATGTACGGGCACGGAACTCAAGGATGCTGGCCCAGTGGGCGATGGAACAGAAGCCGGCTAAGGAGAGCTCTTGACAGAGGGCTTCTCCTCTGGGACTCGGTGTTCGGCACCCGGGCAATGACCCGTGAATCCAGTCCTAAGGCACTGCTGAGTGGTTCCCGGGAAGCTGGAGACCGTGGCGCACTGAAGTGGGACACGAAGGCTCGGAGGGAGGACCTCTCCCTCCTGGGACGGATAGCAGGTGGGCGAGCCCCCCTCCTGGACAGCGAGGGCGGCAACGTTAGTCCTGGCGAGGAGCTGGGCGGGCCGCTGTCCTCTGCTGGCCAGAGCACGCAGGGGACGCTGCTTACACCGGCTTCCCAGGACTTCTGATTCACACACAGCCTGACGTGGGGCTTGAACCCATGAACCGCAAGATCAAGACCTGAGCCGAAGTCGGACGCTTAACCGACTGAGCCACCCGGGCGCCCTCTTATCGTCTTTTACTTTTTTTTTTTTTAAATATAATTTATTGTCAAATTGGTTTCCATATAACACTCAGCTATTGTCTTTTACTTTCAAAAGACTTGCTTACATGAGAGGAATTAGGCCTTGAACTTCTAATGGAAAAGCTTTAGAATATAAGCATTTCTACATCAGCGAAAGAATCATTAGTGTCCAATGTGCGCATGCCATTTAAAAATGTAAGCATCTCTACAGATCGTTTCGGTTCATAAGAATAGACATAACGAATAGCAAAGTTTTTTATCAAATAGGATTACTCACTCTAGACTCAGAATGTACTGCATACTGAGAAAAAACAAGCCCTTAAATGTTGAACAGAAGAAATTAGTAACAAAATCCCTTTATGCTTCTTCTGTCATCAAAAGGTCTGAGCCATAATTGAGCAGGAGTCTTGAATTTTTAAGCTGAGCCAAAGCTGCGTCCTGACAGCCAGGAATGCACCATCTAGACAGCTCAGCACATCAAAAGTTCAGTCAAGGCTCGAGCCAACATTCTTAGGAACCCAGAATATATAGACCAAAGAGGCTTGCTTTCTTGGTCAAATGAGGGAAATCTCAAAACTAGGTAAATGTGCAAAAAATAAACGTTTAACACTTCATTTTGCTAAAGGCCCGAGTTAAACAGACACGCGAAAAGTAGCAAAAGCAGAGCACGAAGTATTTGTATGTGGAAGAGTCGTCATGTTGGTTTATGTCAAAGAATGTCGTATTTATCTATCTTCACGTGGGACAGTTAGGTTTTAAGGTTTCAAGGTTTCGGCAATGCTTTTGACTTTATTATTGATCTGGAACACACTACACAGAATATTTCAAAGTCGCTACCGAAAACCAAGTTGAAATCTTACTCAGCGATACAGGATTCTCAACACCTCTTCCTTCCCTGTGGGCATCAAACTAAGGAAGACGCAGGGAGAACATGATTAAATGCCTTCTGACCAATAGACTAGCAAGTTCTGTTTCCAAATATCTCGGTCCTTAAGTAACGGAACAGATTTTCGGTAAGAGTATCAATTCTGGGCTAAAGAAATATGTGGGGACACTGGAATCCTCACTGAAAGCTCTAGAAGGAACAGAGATTGAGTGACGTCCATGGTGAGAGGTAGGTGCGGAAGGAATGCACTATGAAGGCTGGCCTGTCGGATTTGTCCCTCCCTCCTCTCACTCGTTTTTTTTTTTTGTTTGTTTGTTTTTTACATTTACTTATTTTTGAGAGACAGAGAGACAGAGCACGAGCAGCGGAGGGGCAGAGAGAGAGAGGAAGACACAGAATCCGAAGCAGGCTCCAGGCTCCGAGCTGTCAGCACAGAGCCCGATGTGGGGCTCAAACTCACGAACTATGAGATCATGACCTGAGTTGATGTTGGATGCTCAACTGACTGAGCCCCCCAGGTGCCCCAGTGAGCCCAGATACTTTAACTGGGCGGCACGGGATGGATCTGACTGCTCCATCAGTAACCCAGTAATCCAATGGTAAATTGGGTTGCAAAAAATGTCTGCCCTCCTCTGATAAACACAGCGTTTAGCTAGAGAGACGGAAGTTAATCGAATCCTCATGTTTGCTGTTCATTTTCCTTTTAACTGGTAAAAATACTGCCTATAAAAGTTGATGGTCACATTTTCAGGGCATTTGTATCTTTTTTTTTATGATGAAATAGAGAAAATGAATTAGATTTTGAAAAATAAGGTTTATTTGTAGTAACTATCTTTAATAACTGTCTTTATTTTTAACATTTACTGAAATGGTATATGCTTTGTGCTAATGCGGAAGGAGAAGGCTCTTCTTCCCGCTCTAAAATCTCTTCTTTACCACAAAGAGTTCTCACTGCATCGGAACGGAGGCCCTGGAATGCTCGCAGAGGGTCTGGGCCGGCCGGCTGGGATCAGGCAGCAGGCTCCCCTCTGCTCAATCAGGTAGTTGCAATGGGGAGTCTAGTTCTAAATAGTAGAAGCAAAGTCTATATATTAGAAAAATAAAGAGAGGGAATATAACAAACTGCTTCAAAATACGTGTCTGAGGTGAGAAACAGCTTGTACTTTTATGCTGTGGCAGCTTCCAGAAGAAATCTTCTTTGGGTTTTAATCTTCGGGTTCGTATCTGGAAAGAGATAAGAAAATTCAGGGAAGACCATAACGTCATGATACTTTTTGTCGTTGTCGTCGTTACCAAATGAGTTTACGCGAAACATCTCTGGTGACCAAACCAGCAACGTTGCGTTTTTCACTCGAAGTCACTGCTCCGGTGGGAGCCGGGCCCGGTCAAGGCAGTGTGACGGTGATGCGGAGGCGGCTCTGGCAGCAGGTGGGAGAAAGGGGCAACCGAGTGTGAAGATGCTTCTGGACTCTAAGTCTCTACAGCTGGCGCTTAGACCCACGGCAGCTTAGCACAGCGGAAACTCAGTAACCACCCGAACTGTCAGATGGACACAGGGTGCTGATACGACCACACGAGAAGGTTAACCAACCCCCTTCTCTAAAGAACTAGATCTTGGATTTACTTCCCAGCTCTGTTCCCCTGGAATCCAGGTAACACGTCGGCTGAGTTTCCAGGTGAACCTGCTGAGGACAGAAAGGAGCCTGAAGAGCAGACCACATCCGGATCGGGACGGTTGTGGGTGCACCGTGACCACGTGGCGGGGGCCACGGCTGCAGGCGTCCCCCCACGTGGTGAGCTCCCGGAACCGGACACGGCCCTCCCTGGGGGTCGCGTGGAACATGAACTCCTAGGCCACGCCGGCTACGGCGCCCATCTGCAGGGACCGCATTCTCTGGCACCTCAACTGTCACGGAGGGCACAGTGTGGCCGGGTCTTAGGCTCCTGTGAGAACACTCCTGAGGAGAAACGCCAAGGCCGCCCATAAGCTGGCTGGGTTTCCTTTCTGATATCCTGCTTAAATGACCGTTGCCAAGAGCGGCCTATCGCAGCCGTGTGTCTGAAGTTCCAGCCCCGGCGGGCAGTACGGACAACGCTTTCCTCAGACGCAGGCTTCTGGACTAAATGACAGAGCAGCTAACTACCCACTGGCCTGACCTCTCCGGACACAGGCTGAGATTTCACGAAGAACAAACATCAACCCGGCAGTGATGCAAACCCGAGAGCCGCGCGGGATCAGCAAGGCTTACTTGGCCAGTCTTCTCCTCAGGTCCTTGATTTGGTCATTCTTCCTGGTGAGAATCTCTTTCATGTTTCGATAAGCTGCTGTCTGTTGGAATTTCTTGTCTAATTCCTGTGTGGTGAAAAAGGTCGGCCTGTTACTGAGAAACGGCGAAGGAGAGAAAGAACCGCCTGATAAAAACGTATCAGTTTTTATCTGATTTTATCTAACATTTATCTGTGTTAGATGGCACAAAAGCAGAGTCAACAATGAGGTCTGGAAGCCGGGAGGAAAGATGTAAGGGACTGGACAAAGAGAACTGTGTCTATATGCATTTCAAGTACAACCAAGATGTTTTAAAATGTCCTATTTAATCTATGAGTTTAATTGCTATTAATCTAATGAAGACATTTTCTCAATGTTAAACAGTTATTCAGGGAGAAAAATGGGGGTGCTTTTGTAGAGGTGTAGAAAATGAATTTAAAATTTTGTATGTCTTGCCTAGTGTTCGATGTGAGCACTGTTAAATTTTTCTAGGCTTAGTTTGCTATACCCTAAGATTATGAAAATACTTACTAACCAGCATTTTCTCGCTTCTGTAATCTTGCTTGCTTAACACATTCCTCCCCTTCCCCTTTTTTCTCCCGCCAAAGGACGCCCAAGCAGAGAACAACAAATGTCCTTACTTTAAAATCAACTAATCAGGCCCCCCCATAATCTGAAACCTCCCCTATGCCATTTGTCTCTGTCTATAAAAACGCTGTACAAACCCTGATCGGGGCCTCTTAGCGTCACTGGCAACGAGTGCGCGGAGGTCCAGGTTCGAACCTGCAATAAACAACCCTTGCCGCTTGGCTTTGAAAAAAAAAAACAAAAAACAGTTTTTGGCTTTATTTTTACTAATATTCTGCTTATGTTATTTTCTAATTTCTTTTTAAAATTTCCTTACGTAACATTAAGATTGTTCGAACTTAAAAATACATTCCTTCAAATGAGAAGTCAGAGAGCAACACTGTCAACCCATAACCGTGTACAATGTTAGCGCAGGACTGAAGCATGCTGTGCCCTAGACGTGGGACGTCTGTTTGAGACAGTAAACTCATTCTCAGGTGAAATACGCATGAGCTTTTCCCCAAATCCCCAAGTAGTGCCAGTATTCTGGGAGGAGGATTTTTCATTCAGTTACATTTTAGCCCCTGTATGCTTAAGAGTCTCATCCTTAAACTGAAGAACAGTTTTCTAT